TCTCCGTCCGTCTCTGTCCGCTTTTGGCTCAAAGCATTTTGTTGTTATTGAAAACGGAGATTTCATATTCAAAACCTATAATTGCTCGTATTATTACTTACATGTAGAGTGGGCGTATACACACCATGGGCGTGGCCAATTGGGAAAAGCTGCAACTGTTGAAATTGTAAAATACAGTCAAATATATACTGGAAGGCAGTAGCTTTGCCTAAAAATAAATAGTTATACATATATACATATACACACACAACTCAACTAGATAAACCCATGGCCATTGGGGGCGTGGCAAGTTGGAAAAAAACAACAACAATTTCATGCATAGTTTTGGAACAAAAGCTACTTAATTTTACAATTAAGTTGAAATTGGCCAAGTTTTCAACTTTCAATTCTAAAACTTTGGCAGTTATGGATTTTTTCTCTTTCCCCCGCTGCGTCCGATGAGACTAGATATATATTTATAGATACGGATATTTCAGTGGGTGGTTTGTCTACATGGGTATATGTTTCAAATTTCAAGCCTCTAGCTCCATTAGAAAACAATAATACGGACAGGGGAAGATGGATATGGCCCAAAATAAATAGCCTCGAGTGACTTCCTGAAGGAATATTAAATGGGATTTTAGCGGCAATATTTTTATTATATTATATCACTTTATTGTGAGTTTAAACATTTTTTTTTAACAATTTAGGAAATTGTTTGGGTATTCAAAAATATTAATTATTAATAATAGCCAATAATTTATTTATGACAAATAAAATTAGAAACAAAAGTTGAACATTTTATTGATTTTTATTTTTCGTTTTTATTAAATATTTAAACAAATTAAAGTTTATATAAATAATATTAATTTTAAAATAATAAGCTATATAAAAAATATTATTTTATATATTTTAAATATGTAAGATTTAAAAAAATATACTTTGACTTAATAATTAATAGCTATATATAAAATTTTCAAATTGAATTTATATTTTTATTTATTTTTTTTTTTAATAAAGAAAACAAATACTTTTAGCATTTCGGCAATGGAAACTAATTTGAAGGCGTTCAAAGTAGAATTTGGAATGAAAGTTAATCTAACTATAATAGATAAAAGCATTTGGTTTGACTTAAGACATCATAAGCCACTCAGATAACTGATTGTTTTTTGAAAACTTTGTGAAAGTTTTGTTGTTGTTGCCGTTAGTCGGTCTTTGGCTTTTTCTCATTCGTTGTCGTCTTTTGTGAATGTCTCCTTTTATTATTCATATCAATCATGAATGGAATGAATCATTCTTTCATTGGTGGCAAAGTTCAAGTTTGCTTTTTTGGACAGGAACCACAAAAGATTAACATGCGCTCAGCCCGGATCGGCTCATACTTTTAGTCTTTCTTTGTGTGCATACGCACACACACACACACACACATACACATAGACAGAGGTAGACACACAGCTATGACACACATTCACATCTTTTTAAATTGTTGCACGCCTCATCCTAAGCAGCGGGCCCCTTGAGCCTCACCCAGGGGGCAATCCTTGTGAAAGTTTAGCATAGCGCACAAGGCGACAGGGGCGTCCAAGAAGCGGCACAGAGGGGCGGCTAGTGGAGAGGGAGGGTGGGGGCGTGTAATGGGAGGATGGGTTGTTGCTTACAACAAAGGCAAATGCCTGGCATGCGTTTTTCACATTGTTCCATGCGGTTGAATAAACACAAGCCGTTACACACACATTTACACATACATACACACACACACTTATGCACATATACACTTATGCATTTTATGAGCTGCACACACACACACACACACATTGCCATACAGACACTTATTCGCTCGCTTGCCTCGACAGGCTTACAAAATAAACATTGCGGTATGTATTTTGTTTGTACACACTGCGTATACGTAATGTAAGGCCACTCATTTTGCCTACCCACCTGGCTGGCTGACTGTCAGTGGCCAACGACACACAAAAGATACCCACTCACACACACACACACAAACGAGTCCTCGCATACATACAGAATACATCACAAATACACACTGCAGCAGAGCTCAGCAGCCCGGCAAACCATTGTGGCAAAATGATTTAACCCATATCTCAGACCCAGTGTCAGCCATAGATTCAACGTATTTTATGTAGCTTCCCAGAAAAAAATAATATGTAAATAATTTTGTTAAGAACTGTCTTTAAAATAACATAATTGTTATTAGGAAACCATATGTAAATAAACAAGTTCTCACTTATTAATCAGACTGCGATTTGAATTTGAATTTTCCGGCATGATTTCGTCCTAAAGTGTATATTGAATCAATATAGAAGAATTTTCTGGACGTTGCTTTTACTTCTAGTGAAATATAGGACATTCCAGTTAGTTCGAATATATGTATATCATATACACGAGGTTGGATTTACAAACTTGTCATACTAAAATAAAATGAGATTTTTAGTATAATAATATTTAATATTTATTTAAAATATATATATATTTAATACCGTTTTTTTGTTACAATAATTTGTATTTATTTATTTTTATTTTATTTTTGTATATTACGGATTCTGTTTTTAGCTTATCAAATTTGTGTAACAAATATCTGTAAATACTCCTCTAAATGTAAGGAATACAAATTTTGTTTTTCTTAGAACTTTTTATTTATTTTGTTTACATTAAAACAGGTTTTCGCTATTGGGACACTATATGAAATTCAGAGGAAACTTTGTTTTTAGCTTTAAATACTTTGAGGAGTTTACTTTTATACATTTTTCATTTGAATTTTACTCTTGAGACTTCGTTTTCCATATTATTCCATTCTTAAAGTCAATTCTCTAAAAAGTCATGAAAATTTTTAGGAAAATATGTTCGGTAATTTATTCACAGAGCTTAGAAATCTTCATAA